TGACGGAGCTCGAACTCTGTCTCAGTCGGAGCATAGAAATTGCGCCTATAATTATCTTTTATAAGGTCAAAATTACATAACACGAGATTAATTATTGATAAAAAAATTTAAGAAAATTGATGAACGCGGTAGACTACTCCGTAGTAGTGTAACATGTGGAGTAAAATACCATACATTTATTTAAGCTACAATATACTCCGTACATTAAAATAGGAACCTGTAAATATTTTAGTATTTAATTATTGAGCTAAATGTTTGTCTCAAGGCTTCCCTCAGTATAACTCGATTCGCCATCAACCGGTGAGAGAGTGGCATACTTTTAATTGACCGTAACTGAATTTGGCTGCAAGCGTTATTGAATTACGGAGCATCGCTTCGCATCGCACGGCAAAAACGACACAACAAAGTTACCTTTACTAAGTTATAAAACCATAATACTTGCTTTTGAAGCTTACAATTAATAAAATGTCGTTCGGTGTTGAGACTCGACGTAATTGTATAAAGGCGACCGCTGTAACAAGAACTGTTTTTCAAACAAAACAATGACCGTTGTTTACGATTCAAAAAATGTACGACTAGTCCTTTATATTTTTTCCGTTTCATTTTTCCACCTGTTTTTACAGTACGTGCTCACTAGGACACTGTATTCTATGCGCAGTAAGCTTTAATAGAACGCAGCGAAATATACATTACAGCATTTTCAATATTACGTATAATCGGAAAGTACGAGATATTAGAACGAGAATATTCGTTTAAATGTCAGTCCTTCATTATTAGGAACTATCTGAATCACATTAATATGCATAATACATACAAACTACACTATACTTATAGTGTGTATCTATATTTTGATAGACGAGGAAAGACAAGCATGAAGCATGAGCATGGGGTAGGTAAAATACCTCAGCCATATAACATCTCAACGAAATGCGCTGTCGACCTATGTTGCCTTTGGATATTCGGAAGTTCACACACTAAAACCGAAACACGATTGAACCACCGCCCAGAGATAAAAGAGCAGCCATTTTTTATCTTTGGGCGGTGGTTCATGAGCCGGGCGGATTTTCTATAATCCTACCACCCACTCATTATCTAGATTTCCAGACGAAGTTCGACACGTTTTAGTAAATTTATAAATTCATTACCAATATGTTAAATGGAGTGGGAATCGAACCCGTTGATTATTAGCCGTTGACAATTCGACGAATGCACCAAAAAGTTACCGCCTCTATAGTCAAATGGTTAAACGTATTGTCTAGTATTGCGTTACGTGCGAGAGGGTCGGGCAGAGCACAGAAGTCGGATCAACTACTTGCCTGTTAAAGAACGTCTCAGTGAAACGGACTCAGAAATGTGTTCGCCCCATGCCCCACGAGGGGGAAACGTGATTTCACACACGCCCAAAAAGTTACTTCACGCATTAAAAGTAGGAAATACAAAATATGTAGTCCTAAAACAGTAATAGTTTAATAACATCGGCGCTAAACTGTATGCTTCACGAGATTTTTTAAGGTCCTAACATGACTCTGTCAGGCTAACTAGCTTCTGGCAAGGATTTTGTTTATAGTCTTTAGACTCTAACAACTTGTTAGGAGAAAAGTTGCTCGAGACTAGGGAAACATAATTTTGTTTATGTAAAATGACGAAATATTAGGGACGAAGCTTTAGTTAGAAGTATTTCGTAGAAGCGTTTATGTAATTTAGTTCGCTAGAAATCACATCACAATATTAATAAGACGAAATGCGGCAAACTATAGTTTCATCAACAACTAACCATGTTCTACTAATCTAGTGTCTTTCGAATTATTACAATCATAATTTAAATAAAACACTTTAACAGTTGAAAACGCGATATATTAGTTAAACTTATTTGAAAATGATTTTTAACTTCGGCCCTACGTTTCGGATGCTTTGCAGCAGCCGTGGTCACGGGTTTAACTAATATATCGCGTTTTAAACCGTTAAAGTGTTTTATTTAAATGTGTACTACTCGCGTAAACTATAGACAGTATACAATCATAATTGTTATGGCGTAGCTGTTTGATCACGCATCACAAGTAGGTACCGACAAAATCTTAAACATACTTAATTATATGTAATGCAAAACAAGAGGGCTGGCTCTACATAAAAACACTCTGATTACTAATACCTAATTATCGTTTTAGGCGTTAATAATTAAAAACAATAATAAACTAAGTAAAGGTAGTAAGTAATAAGGTGAGTTAAACTTAAAGCTGCTTATATTGAAAAAAAGAAATACGACAAGGCCGGGAGTTGAACCGGCATCTACAGCGTTTTGTGCTTCTGCTTTAACTTAATTACTTAATGCTTATATATACAAAACAGTATAATTTTACACTTACTCAAACCAAACATAAGTATTCAACTCAGAAACAAGCACATGATATATAATAAAAGGGAAATTACGACAAAAAATATATATAAATATAAAATTTTGTTCGAGAAATTAAACAAGAATATTTGTGAACAGGTTCCAGATTATTATTACATTCGACACCCATGTCTCCCCGTGAGCACGGCTGCTGCCGAAGTATCCGAAACGTCGGGCCGTAGTTAAAATAGTTTTATAATCAGTTTAATTAATATATATAGCGTTTTTAACCGTTAAAGTGTTTTATATAAATATGTACTACTGTGTTCGACACTGTTGTTACTGTGTGGTAAATGACTTAAAATTAAGAACACCTATTTCCATTACAATTAAACTAACACCGTTTCCTCGGCAGAACAGAGGCGTAAGGTTTCCTAACTCGTACCCAGGGCATAGGTCATTGTGCAAGCGGATACGTTCAGCCAACTTTGCAATAATTACATCAGGGAATACCAGTTTGCCTCGTATACCTTTTCCCGCTCTCACACTCCAGCCAGGTAAATAGGAATTTTATCAGGATACCTGAACTAAATAATTGAGTTTATGCAACGTTGTCACTCCGTCGAGGGCTTTAAACTCGGTGTTTCATATAACAATAATACATTTTAACTGCATTCGAGTTCGAGCCAATTGGGAAAAGATGACAATACGCTATTTAAATAATGAAAAGTGTGTCGCTCCAGTTTTAATTGTTCAGTTTACGATTATTACAATGCGTTTATTTTTGTATTGTTTGCTTTTATATTTCAATGGGAAGAAGGCTTTTATTGGCTGTCAATAAAAAATAAAACAAGCGTTCTTCATTTATAATAATATTGGGTTTTTTGAATGGAGTATTGACATTTAAATATGTCTGTTAATTATTTCACTTGAAAGCGAAATACGCCAGCTTTATAAAATATCAACAAGATGCATTTTGACTTTGACACTACTCAATGCAAAAATTGGATGATTATATTATGTTGGACATGGTAGTTATATAGGTAGAATGCGCGGGGCGACATGGTCGTGGGTTCAAGACGTACCAAAGACAAGGCTGTAAATAATATGAATTATAAAGAAATTATCTTAAATAATTGGCGTTTTAAACCGTTAAAGTAGTTTATTTAAATGTGGCTACTCACGTTAACAATATAATAAATACAATTTACAATAAGTTCAGGAACGTGATAAATAAAAATGTTTTAAGCGTTTGATTTTACCGTTGTATATATTTATTCGTTCTATACGTTAATCCGAACAAATACAAAATGAAACAAAAAAATCGTAGGATATGATACTGAAATTACGAAGGTAAGGGGCGAGAACATTTTCCGGGTTCCCGACATCAACACATAATTCAGCGCAAGATTAAATGCCTCTCGGACTCCCTACCGGAACACCACTGCTACATTAGACAACCATGTAAAGTTGAGCACTTTTCACACACATACTGGAAGTCATACGAGGGAGTTCTATAACCAACTGTTCTATACCTATACGGACTTTTAAAATAAAAGTGCATTTGTGATAATCATCTAGCAGGCTGAACTTGTAAAAACCGACAAGTGTGAGTCGCACTCAAACAACGCAGGTACACTAATTTCATATTTTATTTTATGATTTTTACTTACCTATATAATTAAATATTTTGTTAATATTTCAAAATCATAACCTCTTTTTGTTAATTAAGATTCATTTATTACATACATAGTACAAATATAGGCATAAATTTAGATGTTTACTTAATGTTGTTATAGTGGCAACAGAAATAGACAATTTCGTGAAAAATGTATCATGTTTCTAGAAATGGCATCAAGAAGACGCAAATACAAGTATATCGAAGTCTTAGAAATATGACCCTGTCCTATGGGTACAAAATGTATTCATTGGGTACAAAATGCTTAAAATAGTAAATTATGACACTAGTGACATGATTCGAGGTAAATATATTACTTTTTTTTTTCAGAATTCTCCTCCTATATTACATTACTGCAGCGGCCGGCAAGAGAGGCGTTGATGGATGAACGTGCGAATTTGGCCCGAGGCAAAGCCAAGGCCCACGTACCCAATTCTAGCAATGCCTAGTTGCGGTCAAGGGTTGTATAGTACTTTTCTCTAATAATTAAAACCAATGACGAAGTGGAAAAAACAACGAATAACAATAGTTTTCTAACGCGCTAGCTGTTTTTTTAAACAGCTTTCTATGTCAAGCTAGTTCGAAATTTATATTAAACCTTTGAACAGTTACCTCTTTGGTCGCCATGTTGCGGAGTAAAAGATAGTTCTAATTTTAAATTACACAACAAATATGATCTTACATAGTAATTTACTTGGTAGTAAATATGATAGATATGGATTTTTTCCACTAATGCCGGCCGCTGCTAGACTAGTATAGGAAGTTCAATTTATCTCTAAGAAGAAGAAGAATCTCCTATATGTAATAAACCCTTCTTATTTTAAACTGTATTATATTTTATCGAATGGTAGACCGGTGCACTAGTTGTGTCAAATTTATAATGACAGCAACGTACCGAGCTTGAAGACAAATCCACAGCGTCCAGACAGTAAATTAACTGAGCGGATGCAACACAGGGTTATTAGTTATTACATACAAGGACTTATAGCAATGCTCTGCGCCGGTATCCATGGTTCTATTCAACTCGATGGGGCCGCTATTGTACAGTTGCCAAGCTCCGTCGAACACACACAATCAACGGTGGATTTGCGACACAACGACGAGCTTTGCACTCAAATTGTTGGTTGTACACGTGCTTTATATCGAGGAGATAAAGATTATCATCGTAATGATTACGAAATGAGAAATTTCAATGAGGTTTAATGCTAGTATTGAATATGCTCCCACGAGTGTAAGTTATCCGCTTACCTCAGTCTATTATACTATTAAGCCTAATATAATTAAATTTAGTTTGTTATAATACGATAGATCAAACAACAAATTTAACTGATTCAAACCAGATATATTAAAATTTACGATAATACGACTGCGAAATTTAGCTGTTTTTTCAGCAGCTGCAAAGTTGTAGCTTTTTACCTAACATTTTTAAAATAACTACGAGAAACTGTTACATCAAATAAAAAAGTATTTCAATAATTTTCTAGAGATACAAATCAACGGATTAAAACGTGGCTTAAAAAGGTCGCCACAAGGTTTTTAGTGGTTTTCAGCATCCGTAAGTACGTTTCGTATCCGTAAGTCGTCTTATACCGTTAAAATTGTTTGATGCAAAGTCAACATCAGGGCAAGTAAAACTTTAAAAACACACCTTTTGTTCTCCCCTAAAGTTAAAGTAATTGCAAACAACAAATGCACATTTTGTTTTTTTGTAAAACTTATACCATTTTAATTATACTTGACAGAGAAAACTTCTTAATCCGCAATCTACAGTAAATGAGTGCTCTTCCCAGAAGCAATTAGTGTTTGCAAACAATTACTGTATAAACTTCAAGTGCAAGTTTTGCATCACGATACCAAGTGTTTGAAGAGCTCGTTGGTAGCAATGTATTGCTAATAACCAACGGGTACTGGGTTCGAACCCTACCGGGTCGAACATTTTTCTAATCAATTTATAATTGAATATTGTCTTTCGAGCTGTTCGGCCGATGTGTGATTGTGCAGGCACAATTTATAATTTCTGAAACATGTTGACTTCGTCTGGATATCTGGATAAGGAATGGGTGGTAGGAATATCTAAATTTCGTCCGAGATACCACCATATAAAAAAAAGTCAAGTTTAATCGCTTTTCGAGTTCACTCTGTAGATTTCTGAATATCCAAAGCCAAAAGAGAATGTTATGGCTATGAAGGATCTCTGATAGAGAAGGATCTCTATCATAAAAAAAGGATCCGATAAATATCTCTAATATTTGCCAGACTCCAGTGTTATTTTGCAACTTATAAATACTGATTAAATGATATTGTAGAATACAAAGCAATAACTTTCCTCATCAAAGTTCAAAACTGTCAGGTTGTAGCTAGTGACAGGAATATAGCGTAAGGTTACCTCCTATTTTGAACTCCGCGCTCGGTCATACCAACATATCAATATTACATCATTTACCAAGTCTCTCGTAATAGCTAAACTTTGCGAACGACTTAGTTAACAGATATACGTACTTCCTCCATGGAATACAAGTAAATCAAATGTTTAAATTGATTGCTGGTCTCCTATCTCGAGTGAAAATTTATTATAAGTAGAGTCGCATTCTTGGTAGAAAAATTTCGTGTATACCATTCTCTGATTCATTGATTGATTTTCTTATCAATAGTGTGTCCTGCCTGAACGAAACTCTAATTATTTTGATTTGAGCCATGGATCTCGGTCTTAATACAACGCTATACAAAGCGTTACAATTATCTATACAAGTAGTTAGATGTAGTAAAAAAGTGAAATCCCGTTTTTCCCGTGGGGTATGGGGCGAACATAATTCTGCGTCCGGCTCTTTTACAGGTAAGTAGTTGATCAAACGTTTGTGCCCTGCCTGATCGAAATAATCTACAGTTACTCCCGCGCTAAACACAATGCTAAGCAACGCGTTTAACGATTTGGCTACAGAAGTTGTAACCCCCTTAACATTTTGTGCCAATAATACATACATTTTGTAAATTTTAATTTTCTAAATGTAATGAGACAGCATACACAACACTACACAACAATATCACTCAATCAGTCTTTGTAATAGAATGTAATTTTAACCTCCTGCTACGGAACCCTAAAAACTTCTTTTATATTGACAAAGTTGCCGAGTCACGTCCGAAAACAACGTAATAAGGCCTAACTCTAGGATTGACACTTAAAAGAGCACCTTCTACTTATAAAAGTTTAAAACCTGCCTCCTTGTCTCGTGATAAAATTGATTTATTTAACTAATTTGTATTCGAGGCTCATCGCTTAATATTTTAGGGTTGAAACATAATTGGAAGCACAACGGCTGCATTTGAACGCATTCTTGAGTTGGCTCCTCGCCACGGCTTTGCATAATGTAACGCTTTCCTAATATATTGGTATGTTGAATTCTTACTTTGCTCAAGGTAAATAATGTCTTCATATTAGTTATAGCTATGCATATGTGGTATTTGTATTTTGAAGGGTGCTGTGTCTGTTGTTAAATCTATACTATTAAATGAGGCCGCTAGAAGTAGACTAGCCTGCTTGCGACTTGATTTATTTATATTTGTATAGTCTAAAAATGTTAATCTACAAGAACACAGTGACTAAAAATGGTTAACATAATTCTTACACAAATAATAGTACAAATTCATTTTCGCCTAAGTTAATTGCGCGTTTTTATTTTCTTTCTTATTAGGCCACTCTGCCTCTAGCAGCCTCATATAAGCTAATCTCGGGAACTACTGGTTTGAATTGAACTCTTTTTGGGTTAGATTAGATTTTTTTTGAGGAAATCTTTAAGCTATAAAACATCATGCTACGACCTATCTGAGCAAAGAAACAGTGGGAAATGTGGAAAAAACGGGAAAAATAATTTATTTTCGCGGGTTTTCGTTGCATATGCTGCGAAAACTGTTTAATATACCTAAAGAATATGTATGAAAAAATTTTCCTGCTTAAATGATCTAAAAAATGCGACAGTAAATTTCTATATTCTAAGATTAACCAACAAGAATGACGGGACGCGATCGACGTCGTGTTTAAGAGCTATAATTAATGAAGATGAGAGGAAGTTTGCAAAAACAAACTTTGATGCCCGAAATAACTATTCTACGCGGAAGAAGTTACTGGCAAAGCTTGTATATCGTTACATGTACCTACATATAGTACTAAATAATAACATTGTGTATGTGGCACGATCTAACTTCAATGATGTATAACTGGTATTGTAATAACAATCTTTCATTAAATGTTCAGTCTGTTTTTGACTTGCAATCTGTTTGTTTTATTTTCTTTACCCGGGCCAAATACTATTACTACTATTATTACTGCTACTCAATCTATATATTGTCGTTAATCCTAGACAATACATTTAAAAGTGCAATAACGATATTATCACATTATTGTGAATATATAATCGTTCGTATTAATCAGGGAATTGTAACAATTTCCGAAATAAGATATTCATGAAACTGGTAATTAAAAGTAATCTAATTTACATGAATATCGAAAGCCTACTTATTTGTAACGGAATGATGGGTAATATGTATTTATTTCATTAAATTATTCATGGTATCGGTGCATTATCCGTTCACATAGTAATCGATTATCATAGTAAATGGATTGGGCTTATTCCCAAATTGGACATGATCATTGTTTGACTGAAATCTGTTACTGTACAACTTACATACATAGATTTAAATTTAACACTTTTAACGGTTTAAAACAAGAAATGTATTAAATACTGTCTATAGTTTACGCGAGTAGTACACATTTAAATAAAACACTTTAACGGTTTAAAACGCGATATATTAGTTAAACTTATTCCCCCGTGGTCACGGGGAGACTGAGTCTCCCCGTGACCACGGCTGCTGCAAAGCATCCGAAACGTCGGGCCGAAGTTAAAAATCATTTTCAAATAAGTTTAACTAATATATCGCGTTTTAAACCGTTAGAAATGTATTAGTTAACTTATTAACAAATAAAATTTTACTAATACATTTCACGTAATAAACCGTTCAAAGTATCTTATTAAAAAGAGTACTAAAGACATATATGAATAGAGTTTGACAAGTTCCAAGTCTTGTTTAATAGGCGGTGAGAGACTTAGTAAGAGATTTTTTGGCATTCCATGTTAGTCTGTGTTCTAATGTTTCATTAAAAAGCGATTATAAATTGAAAAAAAAATACGACTCAGGCAGGACTTGAACCGGCATCCACAGCGTTCCACATTGTTGCTCTAACCAATTAAGCCCTACTCTATACGGTAGAGCAATAGAACGAAACGCTGTACTCACTCGCTCGTAATTTTTTTTTTATTATCAATTTTCACTTTATATAGTACCATCATGTGCACTAACATGTGGAAAATATTAAAATTTTCTAATATTTTATTTAAGCATTTAGTCGATTTAATTAAACGAGGTGTATAAGTGTTTCGTGGATTTGTCCCCTTTAAAAAAAGTAGCTTTGACTATTTCTTACATTATTTACAATTTGTGATATTATAGGTTAACATCGATTGTAATAATAAGATTGGCAGAAATGAGATCTGAACATCTAACCTTGAATATGCTTGACTAGTATTTGAAGAGAATGATAAGTTTTCCAAAATTGTATTCCGCCATCAATAGAATTCAATATCTCCATCGCGAATGCGTCCTTCAGTTTACCTGCGATATTTTTCGTTCCTGTTCTACATTTTACATAAACTAATTTCCTTGGCAATATTGGTCTTGCGACAGTTCCGTAGGCACGGATGCCTCCCTCTAAAAGAAACTCGTCGAATCGGGGCTTCGGAGACCAAATCAAATCACCCAACCTTATCTGATTTTTACAAGAAAACTTGCAACTGAAATTACCTGCACAAGATTTTTATTTATGCGTAAATATTTTGCGGTGATGTGATTCGCTGCGGCAATAACGAAATGACAACTAGATATTTGACGGCCTCGTCTGTGTACCTAATGGTAACAATGTATGGCTAATAATCAAGGGATTATGAGTTCGATTCCCACCTGATCCAACAATTTTTATCAATTTGTAACGTTTTTAAGCCTTTCGGACTTCGACTGGAAATTTAGATATTAAGTGGGTGGTCCGTCCGGGTCACGAACCACCGACCAGAGATAAAAAGGCCGCGAAGTTTAATCGCGTTTTGGTTTCAGTCATTGGAGTTACGAATAGACAAATCCAAAAAAGGTCGACAGTG